TGATGCCAGTAAGTTAATGATCTCCCATAAACGCTGTTTATTATCGTCATGCATTATGGGATGCATTTGCACAAAAAAACACGTATTATGTGTTCACTACCATTCTTATTTGTTATTTGATGCTGCTTGTTCCATTTTTTCAAGTTTTCAGGCACAGGAAAAAGAAGATTCTTGATTCTTCAGCAAGAAATTTGGACTCTCAGCTGTGATAACTTTATAGAAAGTTAATGAAGACTGAAAATGTTTCACTTCAAATCTATCAGTAGCACATTTTTTCCCCACCACTTCAGAAACATTTAGGGACTGACGTTGCCTTTTCTCTCTAGACCTGGGAGCCTCTGCTGCAAAAGCAATAGATTAACCTTGGAGTTTGCAAGCCGTTCACACAAGAATGGGTGTTCTACTGAAATATGAACTATCAACACATTTTAGAAATGGGCAGAAACTTCAACTGATACACACAAACACACACACACRAAAGATTTCTATTTGCTTTAACAAACACCAACAACTTCCATGTTTCTGCATGAGTGGCAGCATCTGCATCTGGGAGAAGGAAAAGAGGCTCAGATGCTGTCTAGAACAGCACAGGTTAGCAATACTCAGGTTACTATTATTCAGGACAGGCAGCATGTTTATTTACAGAAGAGATACACTAAACAGTCCAGAATTAAAGAAGTGTTCCRGTGGATATATTCTTCCACTGGCCACCATCTCTCAAGAAATGCTAGGCTATGATGGAATGCCCAACAAAAGACATTAGAGATCTCTCCTGCTGGCAGTCTCATAGAATTTTTATTCTAACACTTTACTCTGACTAACACAAGAAAGAGCTAGTAGAACTTAAAGGGTGCATAGTTAAAAAGCATTTCAATCTCTAACAGTACTAGAAACAGGCAGAGAGGTCCAGTTTTTAATAAAAGTAGAAAAACTGCAGCTTTACCATGTAAACTGCCATCCAAAACATTGTAATTTCAATTTTATTTATGGATAAAATTCCACTAAAGAAATGTGGCATGGAATACTTAGTTCTAAGCAATACAGTTTTAATTATGTTACATGCTACCTCTGCTTTAATTATGTAAAATAGTATTAAGTAACAAACTGTTTATGCATGAAGCGGATAATTAATACATCAAAAATTATTATGATAATTGAATCATGCTGTCTTTTTAGCTCTTCCCTCCTTCACCTCTTCAGACTCTCAGTCAGAGAAATACCTGTTCTAGGCTGGGATAATAACATTTTTCCCATTGATCTTTCAAACATAAAGCACTTGTTCTGAAGAACTGAATCAACAGCCACACAGGCCAGGAGAGAGAGCAATGCAGATTTCATTATCTCCCAATTGTAACATTTTTAACAGCATTATAGGCATGAAAAATATGGAACAAAAAGTGAACACACGTTTTGGGCTGTCACTACCCTCAATTCCAACTCTGTTACTGCTTTTAGTTAGGATTTTTTTTTTTCTAAAAGGAGGAAGGATGTGAAGCAAACTTGCTCACAGCTTTTACTCTCTTTTCTGGGAATGATAATGCAAGCTATGAATTAACATTAGAACCAAACTGTTTTCAACTGACTTTCATCGTATTCTTWATATTAATTCACATTTATCAACATTTGCAACAGCTCACTTTTAGGGTTATACAGAATAACTAATTCAGTGCCATCACTGAAAACCTATTTGATGAACATATGGTAGCATTCCCAGTACTTCACAAAACTACTCAGCATCCCTACAGTCAGCCCTGACTAAATACTGCAGTCACCCCCTTTCTGTAGACTTTATTCTGCCAGATACAGAGCTCTGTGCAAGTTCTTGCTCAAGAAGGCCCGGACAAAGCCGTGCGGGTCGCAGGTTTCCACGGGAGGCTGACCCCGCGCCCGGCGGGATGTGCCGCCCGGCGGGATGGGMTGTGCCGCCCGGCCGGGCGCTCCACGCGGAGCTGTCTGCGGTGCTGAACGGGAACAGACGGCCGCGACACCGCCCCAGCCGCACCCGAGGGGCTCCACCTCCCCATCGCACATCCACCACGGGCTCACCGCGGGAAACCAAAAGAAAACCCAATTGACTTACGCTGCTCCATCACCTCTCGGCTTGGGAGGCATCTTGGCAAGCCTTTATAAACTTCCCTTCCAACTCTCTTAAAAAGAGCAGCACGTCTGGGACAGGCAAACTCTAGTTTGATTTAACTGCCTGTTTCCAGAACAAAACATACAAACAATGTCATTTCAATAGGAAGACTAAAGCTATCCACTTGCTGCTAGGCACTATCCCACGGACATCGTCGCAGCATGGTTTGTTTGATCTTCGTACCAATAAATCAAGCTCAAAGACTACTGGAAAGAATGAAAACGCTGATTCCCACTTGCCAGCATTTTAGGTCACCGGGAGTTTCTCAATATTGATCCTGTGATCGGTAATAATTAATAAACTGTCAGCTCCTTATTTTGCAACATTCTTTTGCCTTGTGYTTGGTAGAAAAATTTATTTATGCTTAAGCTGGTTTGCTCCCACCCACCAAAGTATGAAAGACACCACAGGTGCCAGCTGAATACAGCTACCTTCTTCTGTTTCACGGAACAAACTTTCCTCTCTCAATGAATTCTTACTTATTTATACTGTAAAAAAATGTTTAATTATGTTTCAGACAATAATCAGAATGGAATGTTCCAATGGGAATGGGACTGACAAATAGCTAGTGCAAGAAGTCCTCCAGGATACAACCAACCATCTGTAGGCTCTGTTCTACTGACCTTATTCATTCTTCTGCTTAGATGTTTGCTTGAGTTAAAGACATGCCTGCCTTCAGAAAGCAGTCAGCTTTAAAGGGTATTTTAAAAACATTATATTATCAGGATTACAGTTTTGTTGGGGTTTTTTTCCTTTGGGGTTTTTTTTTTGTTTGTTTGG